GGAGATCATCATGGTTCCCAAACCAGGTAAGTCTCCGAATATGACTTTTTCATACCGACCTATATTATTACTACCTACTATGTCCAAGCTATTTGAAAAATTACTACTTAAGAGGATCCGACCAATAATAGAAAACAAAAGATTAATACTTAATCACCAATTTGGCCTTAGAAGCAAGCACTCGACACTAAAACAAGTCCACAGAATTACTAATATTACAGAGGAAAGTCTAGAATAAAAAAAAATCTGCTCGGCGATTTTTTTGGATGTTGCACAAGCCTTTGACAAAATATGGCACAAAGGCTTAAATCATAAAATAATTAAATACTTCCCTAAACAATACGCAAAAATACTAGAAAGCTACTTGGTGGGAAGATTGTTTAGGGTGAAATATGAAAATGAATACTCAGAATTGAGAGAAATTAAAGCAGGGGTGCTGCAGGGTAGCGTCCTATCCTGTATCTCTTATTCACTAATGACATTGCCTACTCAGAAAATGTTATAGTCGCAACGTTTGCGGATGATACTGCAGTCTTAGCAGCTGGGGAAAACACTGAAGAAACGACAAGGAAATTACAATTTGCCGTTAATAAAAGGAATAACTGGACTAAAAAATGGAAAATAAAATTAAGTGAGGATAAATCGACTCTTATCAACTTTATTAAGAAAAAATTAAAACCCTTCCCGGTGCATCTATTAGGAGTACAAATAAGTTTCCACCGTTTTCTATAAAAAATTAGGAATTTATTGTGAAAGAACGGTACATTACGTTTTATTCAAAGTATTGTCCATCACTAACCACTACTTTTTCTCATCTTTCTGGCAGCATTCGGATACCACGTCGGAAGAACTCTTCATCTCTTGAGGCTATCCACGAATCGACTCAATTTTTAGTATCTTCATATAATGTAAAGCGCTGCTTAGACAGGCCATGTGCCATCAACCGGAACAAGTGATAATCGGAAGGGGCAATGTCTGGTGAATACGGCGGGTGGGGTTCCCAATTAAGTGTTTCCAAATAAGTTTTGATTTGGTTTTGCAACATGTAGCCGAGCGTTGTCATGTAGGAGAATAATTTTGTCGTGTCTGGAATAGTAATGGGCGCGTTTTACCTTGAGTGCTCGGCTCAATCTCAATTGCTTAACTGTGTTTGGTAGAGAGCTCCAGTAATGGTTTCGCTCGGTTTGAGCAACTCATAATACACGACACCAAGCTGATCCCACCAAATACACAGCATGAGTTTTTTTCCATGAATATTCGGTTTGGCTGTCGATGTTGAAGCATGGCCAGGTGGTCCCCATGATTTTCTCTTCTTTGGGTTATCGTAGTGGATCCATTTTTCATCACCAGCGACTATATGATGCAAGAAACCCTTTCTTTTATGCCTGGCAAGCAGCATTTCACATGTGCAAAATCGGGGTTCAACGTCTCTCGGCTTCAGTTCATATGGAACCCAATTTCCTTGTTTTTGAATCATTCCCAACGATTTTAAACGATGTGAAATTGGTTGTTGACTTCTAATGTAAGTGCAAGTTTTTCTTGCGTTTGGCACAAATTTTCCTCCAATAATGCTTCCAATTCCGTGTCTTCGTACACTTTCGGCCTACCACTACGTTCTTTGTCTTCCACGTCAAACTCACCGTTTTTAAACTTCTGAAACCACTCACGACAACTTCTCTCACTTAAAGCAGTCGCACCATATGCTTCTACAAGCAATCGATGCGCCTGCAGATTTCTTCAAATTAAAGAAGTAAATCAAGTTTCCGCGAATGACGCTTATTCGGCGCAAAACTTGACATTTTCGCACGAAAAAAATTATGTGATGCTGATACGGAGTCACTAATACTTCAAGGTTATATTGTTACCAGATGTCCAAACTATTTACATACATAATATATGTATTGGTTACTTGGGAGAAAATCCCAACTTTCAACTAATAATAAAGTACTACTATACAATCAAGTGATAAAACCTATTTGGACATACGGCCTCCAATTATGGGGATGTGCCAAAAAATCTAATATTAATATCATACAAAGATGCCAAAATAAAATTCTAAGAGGAATTGTAAATGTACCGTGGTACATTAGAAATGGGGATATACATAGAGACCTACTGGGAGTGGTTGTTATGAGGGATGAGATTGGGAGGGTGGCGCGACGACATGAGGATAGAATGCGCGAGCATGTAAACATCGAAGTAAAACAGCTACTTAAATACTATGAATCTAAAAGGAGACTTAAAAGGACCAAACCTCACGACTTAGCAATAACATAACAATTGTAACTAGGAGGTGCATTGGCTAATTCTAGATAATACACTAATAAACATATGACAAGTTAAAAATGCTGGTTAGTCGGAAACGATTAGTTGCAATCAATATACAATTAAAAAAAAAACATATTAAATAGTCATGCATAAATTTTTATGACTTCCATTTTTAATATTAAGCCATAATTTACAAATTAAATTTTAATTTTGACACAACTTTCTGATATAATTATTGTTTCAAGAAAAGTATTAGGGACTTGAATAAGTTCTCGCTGTTTCCCGACAGATGGTGTTATCTTAGCCTTTTTGCATCAGGCAATATTACAGCCAACTTCATCGTGAAGCTCCACTATTAAGCTCGAAGTGACAGTATATGTTATTCTGCCGAAGCGTAAACAATATATTTTTTCATAGCGTTAAACATGTCGAATTTCGTGCCAAAAAGTAAGAGTATTTGTGGGGAATTTTACTGCATTACTTTATTCAAAAATAATCTGCAGCTGAAGCACATAGAATTCTTGTGGAGACTTACGGCGACCATGCTCTGTCGGAAACAAGATGCAGAGATTGGTTTAAAAATAATGATTTTGATGTTGAAGATAAATAACGCTTCGGCGCACTGAAAAAATTTGAGACGAAGAATTGGAAGCATTACTCGATAAAGATCTATGTCAGACGCAAAATAAACTTGCAGAATCATTAGGAGTTGATCACATAACAGTTGCCAAACGTTTAAAAGCATTAGGAATGATTCAAAAGCAAGGAAATTGGATGCCGTACGAATTGAAGCCGAGAGACGTCGAATGACGTTTTTCACGTGTGACCAGCTGCTCCAACGGCAGAAAAGGAAAGGATTTTTGCATCGTATTGGGACTGGCGATGAAAAGTGGATATACTACGATAACCCGAAGCGTAGAAAATCGTGGGGTAAGCCCGGCCATGCATCAAAGTCGAACATCATCGGCAAAGCCGAATATCCAAGCCGAATAGTTCCAAGCTCATGCTCTATATTTGGTGGAATCAGTTGGGTGTATATTAGTATATTAGTATATTAGTATATTAGTATATTAGTATATTATGAGCTCCTCAAACCCAACGAAACCATCATGGGAGATCGCTATCGACTACAATTGATGCGCTTGAGCCGAGCATTGAAGGAAAAACGGCTGCAATACGAGGAGAGACACGACAAAGTAATTTTGCAGCATGACAATGCTCGGCTACAAGTTGCAAAACCTACTTGGAAACGCTCAAATGGGAAGTCCTACCCCATCCGTCGTATTCACCGGACATTGCTCTTTTCGATTACCACTTGTTTCAATCGATGACTCATGGCCTGGCTGAGCAGCACTTCCTTTCTTATAAAGATGCCAAAAATTGGGTCGATTCGTGGATAACTTCAAAAGATAAGTCGTTCTTTTGACATGGTATTCGTATGCCAGAAAGATGGGAGAAAATAATGGCTAGCGATGAACAATATTTTCAATGATATGTTCTTTACTAATTTTTTTAAATAAAGCATTCATTTTCACGAGCAAACAGTGAGAACTTATTCAAGTCCCCAATAGGTTTAAAAAGTATTCTTCTATAATATATTTGTGATTTAAATATTTTTCACTTTTACCCAACTATATTTCCAAACTAATTAGATTCAATGCTTTAATGTTTCAAAATTTTAAATACTTAAATCTTTTGGTTTTTAAAGCAAAACTATTTTACAAGGTTTGATCAAAAAGTAACGAGAATTTTAAAATTTTTTGCGCGCGCTGTATCTTGTCTATTCAGTTGATTTTTTTTGTGTTGGTAGCACTACCAGTGATGTACGTGTCAATTTTCAGCTGGCAGCTGCGACGCTTAGTTTATGTTTGGCGAGCGAATGAGCAAGATGGTGGTGGCGAGCAAGATGTATTTCAGTATGTTTGGCGATTTTTTGTGTGGCGAAATGTCGGATCAGAGAGCATATCGCTTTGCTTATCCAACAGTTCTTGGCGAAACACAACACGGTTGTGATGCCGTAACAACCTTATTCTCCAAACATGGCCTCCTGTGACTTTTTCCTATTTCCCAAACTCAAAAGGATACTCAAAGGACGTTTTTCAACAATAGATGAGATAAAAGCGAAATCGCAGATCTAGCTCAAGATGATACCTAAAGAGGCATTCCACCAGTGTTTCTCAAACTCGAAACTACGTTGGCATAAGTGTATAATATCACAGGGAGACTACTTTGAAGGAGATGGGATAAACATTGAAGATTAAATAAATACTTTCCGAGAAAATTAAAAATTCTCGTTACTTTTGTTCAAGCCTCGTATACAACAAATTTTCTATTTTTAGTATCAATGCTTGATATATAAATTCATATTTTATTAATATCTGTATTTTATTGAATGTCATATTTTTGTTTAAGTCAATATTTTATTGGATATAACATTTTGAACGTCAAATATGATATAAGTAATGTACAAATTTTCATTTTTATTTTGGTGCAACTTTTTGATATCACAACTTTTTTTTAGATGAAATTGATTTGAACAAATTTTTGTACTATATGACTTTTTATAATATGCTCTTCATTAAAGTTTTAACTTTTTATATTTAACAAATAAACATTTTCATCTAGTGCGTGTACTTGGCGCCATTTCATTACCTTTTTTTTAAAAAGGTAAGTTTTTTAGGATTATATCATTCCTTTTTTTACCATATTATATACATTGGTATATACATTACCCAATAATCGGCGATACTTTCTTCCAATCCAATAGACGCGTCGCGTATATATCATATATAAATGAATAAATGATAAATGATATACATATAGTACGTTAATAATAACGTATCTCTTGTGAATAAATGATTAATAATATACAATAATACTATGATACTGAACATCCACACAAAATATATTGCTATAAAAAACTACCTATATTGGCTGAGTTTCGTAAAGCGCATTTATTTACCAGGTCTGTAAATATGAAACCGGAATATGCCCATAGATGGCCCTAGCTGTCAATGTAGTTACCGTCAAACCGCGTCATTGGCGTCATTTCCATTTGTTGACATCTGACAAAGATTTTCAATTCACAAGTTTCATACAACAGCATAGTTTGTAATAGCGTTGAACATGTCGAATTTTGTGCCTGCACAAGCTACGATTTGCGGACAGCATTGATTTTCTGTTACCATTTGAAGAAAACTGCTGCAGAATCGCATCGAATGCTTGTCGAAGCTTACGGTGAGCATGCTCTTGGTAAATCACAGTGCTTTGAATGGTTTGAAAAATTCAAACGTGGCGATTTTGACGTGAGAAACGAAGAACGTGGAAGACCACCGAAAAAGTTTGAAGACAGCGAATTGCAAGCATTGTTGGATGAGGATGACGCTCAAACGCAACAACAACTCGCGGATCAATTAAATGTGACACGAGAAGCCGTCTCCATACGTTTGAAAGCCATGGGAAAGATCCAGATGGGAAAATGGGTTCCACATGAACTGAATGAAAAACAGCAGGAAAACCGAAAAACCACTTGCGAAATGCTGCTCGCCAGGTACAAAAGAAAGTCATTTCTCCATCGAATTGTGACTGGCGATGAAAAGTGGATATATTTTGAGAATCCTAAGCGTAAAAGATCATGGGTAACTCCAGGCGAACCATCGACATCGACTGCAAGGCCAAATCGCTATGAACGGAAGACAATGCTCTATGTTTGGTAGGATCAGAAGGGTGTGATCTATTATGAGCTGCTAAAATCTGGCGAAACCGTTCATACTGAACGCTACTGACAACAAATGATCGATTTGAATCAAGCTTTGCGTGAAAAACGACCAGAATATCAAAAAAGGCAACACAAAGTGATTTTGCTTCATGATAATGCACCATTACACACAGCAAAACTGGTTAAGGAAACGATTGAGGCGTTTAGTTGGGAAATACTTTCGCATGCGACTTACTCACCAGACTTGGCTCCGTCGGATTACTACTTATTTGCATCGATGGGACACGCATTTGCTGAGCAGCGCTTCACTTCTTACGAAAATTTACGAAAATGGCTCGATGAATGGTTTGCCTTAAAAGCGCAACAGTTTTTTTTGGCGTAGCATCCACAAATTGTCAGACAGGTAGGAAAAATGTATAGCTAGCGATGGACAATACTTCGAATAAAATATTTTTTATCATTTTCATATAATAAACGTGTATTTTCTATACAAAAATTCCGGTTTCATATTTACATACCTGGTATATACTAGCTAACATAACGTCAGTACTTTAAAAAAGTCTGCCAATTAAATAATAAAATAATTAAAATACGCACGATATAATTTCGACTGTGCGTCTCCACAAATTCCACACATTGACGGCCACTGACCATAACATAAAGGGTCTGCCAAAAATTCCGGAACGGCATATTCAAAATTTCAAAAAGTAATAATTGTTTAAAACAATGTTTGAAACAAAAGTTGTAAGGACTTAAAAAAAGCTATCAGATATTGATAATTGTTTGACCTTGGAATGATCTTGAGAAACGTTATCAAGGTCGACATAAAAATCTTAAATGGAAACTCCAATTTTTTATTACACCGTCTTTTTCCACCAATTAATTTGAACAACTTTTGTCTGAAACATTTTTTTTATTTACCTAATATTTTTTTAGATATTTAAGGATAACTTGGTAACTTTTTCAATATTTAACTTACGATATCTCGCTAACTGTTTGTCGGGGTCAAAAAAATGGTACTAGACTTTTCTATTCTACTTGGTTTCAAGAATATATTGATTCAACAATGCTCTATTTTTTGTTAATTTATCGATCTTTTGAAATTTCAAAATCATCAAACAAAAGTCAGGGCACTATTGTAACAATATATTCTTGAAACCAAGTAGAATAGAAAAGTCTAGTACCATTTTTTTGACCCCGACAAACAGTTAGCGAGATATCGTGAGTTAAATATTGAAAAGGTTATTAAGTTATCCTTAAATATCTAAAAAAATATTAGGCAAATAAAAAAATGTTTCAGACAAAAGTTGTTCAAATTAATTGGTGGAAAAAGACGGTGTAATAAAAAAATGGAGTTTACATTTAAGATTTTTATGTCGACCTTGATAACGTTCCTCAAAGTCATTCCAAGGTCAAACAATTATCAATATCTGATAGCTTTTTTTAAGTCCTTACAACTTTTGTTTCAAACATTGTTTTAAACAATTATTATTTTTTGAAATAATTAGCTGTTCCGGAACTTTTGGGAGAACCTGTATAATAGACTATGAAACGCTATGATACGCAATAAACAATTGAAACGCGATTATTGATTATAAATGTGCTTTACGAAACTCAGCCAATACAGGTAGTTTTTATTGCAATATGTTTTACGAATATTCAGCATCATAAAATTATTGTATATTATTAATTGCAAGTTTTGTTTCAAATTAACAATGAATGATATTGAATTCGACAAGTAAGTAATTTTCTATAGCAATACCGAACATTAATTATAGTACTCTTGCATGCATTATACATTTTATTAATTGCAAATTTTTTTCAGTTTGCAAATGGATGATGTTGAAACAAATAATATAACATTAAAAGATGAAAATAAAGAGTTACGAGAAGAAATTTAAAAAATGAAAGAGGTGGTGGAGCATTTAAAAGCAGTTTGATGCCGAGCCGCAGCAGTTAGAAGAACAGCCACCGCTATCAGTCCTATCAGAAAAATGTAAGATTTCAATTCATATATTATATTATGCTATAATTAAGAAATATTATAATATATAATTATGATATAATGCATTTATATTTCACACTTAATTATTAGGTGTAAAGGGTGTCCCAAAATTCACGCAAGATTTGAATTTTGCGCCATTTGTGCGGTAAAGTATTGCCAACGAAAAAAAAAGACAGCGTGACAGCTGATAATTCAGATTTTAAAAATGGAGTGCTATACGAAAGAACAATGCGTTTTCATTGTTGAGCAATATTTTAAAACTAATGAAAGTTTGGCGAACAAAATCATCTTCAGCGATGAGGCTCATTTTCATCTTGATGGCTTGGTTAATCGACAAAATTGTCGCATTTGGGGTTCAGAAAATCCACGAATGATTGTTGAGAAACAAATGCATCCACAACGTGTCACTGTCTGGTGCGGAATTTGGGCTGGAGGCATCATCGAACCATTCTTCTTCGAAAATGCGGCTGGTCAGGCAATAACAGTTAATGGTGCTCGCTATCGCGACATGATAATCCAGTTTTTTGTGCCTAAATTGCAAGATATGGATGTGGACGACATGTGGTTTCAACAAGACGGTGCTACATGCCATACAGCCCGAAAAACAATTCAATTACTGCATGAATCATTTCCTAGTCGTGTAATTTCCCGTTTTGGTGATCAGATTTGGCTGCCCAGATCATGCGATTTAACGCCGTTGGACTTTTTTCTTTGGGGTTTTGTTTACTTCGTAACCTGGTGAGCGAGAAACAATTGATAGTTATTTTGGCAGGTTATGCACGTAGACCTGCAGTCAGCAGTGCAACTCAATAGTGCATTTTATTAGTGCAATATTTGATAGTGCAATGGAGACTGTGCGACGGTATAGTAATAGAGAATCGATGGATATGATTTTGATTTTTGGTGAATGCCAACAAAATCAGAGACGTGCAGCAGCTTTGTACGCGGAACGTTTCCCCAACAGAAGGCACCCGGGACATGGCTTTTTTTGCAGTCTTTGCGTAAGACTATGCGAGCATGGCATGTTGCATGCCTCTACAAGGCCACATCATGTCCCGTTTAGAGGTAGAGCGACAATTGATGCGGTGCGAGCGGAACTCGAAAATAACCCGCATACCAGTACACGAGTTATTGCGCGTACTCTGCAATTAAGTCAGAGTAAAGTGAACCGCATTATAAAGAAAGAACTTGCATGGCACCCATTCAAAAGGCACCCAACTCAAAGGTTACTTCCTGTCGATTTTCATCGCCGTCAAGCATCCTGCGATTGGATTTTAGACAAGGTAAGTATATAATTGGGATAAAATAATATGCAATAAATATGTAATGAACATATTGTTTTATTTATGCTAATATCTTACAGATTGATCATGACAACGTGGCAGATGATGCATTTATAAGAAAAATTTTATGGACGGACGAGTGCGTCTTTCATAGTGACGACGGTATTAATCGTCATAATGAACATCATTATGCAGAAGAGAATCCCCATTGCCGCAAAACCGTCCACGTCCAAGGGAAATATTCCGTCCATGTTTGGGCGGGCATATTGGACGATAACATTATTGGGCCGTTCTTTTTCGCAGAGAATGTTCATATTACTGGCGAAATTTACGTTAATTTTGTAGACGATATATTAAGCGGCTTATTGGAAGATATGCCGTTAATTCTAAGGAATACTATAATTTTCCAGCAAGATGGTCATCCCGCCCATACGTCCGTTGTCGCCCGTGAGATATTAAACAGAAAATTCCCCGATCGATGGATCGGGATTTATAGTAATTTTCAGGAGTGGTCGTCGCGCTCACCTGATCTTACTCCGTTAGATTTTTTTCTGTGGGAGTATCTAAAAGACCGGATATATCAAACAATACCACAGAATAGAGGACAGTTGATTAATCGCATACAAACTGCGTGCTTAGAAATTACACCGCAAATGTTACGCAAAGTACGCGAAAGTTTTGTGCGGCGAGCTACTTTATGTGAGGAGCACGATGGAGGTATTTTGAGCATCTCCTGTAAATTAATCATATTATAAATATCTATAAATATCATTATTATAAAAATATTCACGTTTATTATTTCACACA